GGTGTTAACCATTGTAACATAGGATGCATGGGACTGAATGCTGAAGGGAGCCAAAAGACTTCATTGAATAGAAAATTTCTCTGGTGATTAATTTGCACAGCACAGCATAAACAGAAGGGGATTTAGTGAACATGTAGGTTAGTAGACCAGGAAGTCAACTGAGGCTGGGAAAATGTGTGACTAGGAGGGCCAGCTTATCAGGAAAGATATCTCCATGGCCATAGTGGTCAGTGAGTTAGCAATACGTAAATTAACATAAACTAGCATTGATTATTGGAGAAGCAAAGTAGCTGCTTTCCTAACTACTTGTATCTGGTGACAGGTAATATTCTCAAACCTTGGCTCACAGACCATCAGAGCTGTCCAGGTATTAAAGGACCTTTCATTGGTGGAGCCACAAAGGAGGTAAGTCTCATTGCTGCTGAAAAGAGGGGTCATTTGTATGCAATCATATGGAGCAAATTTAAAAGCCTGGTGCCCATTTCTATGTTTATACTAGTGAACTTCACATTTTTTCCCTGGTGGACATGTCTCACTTTGTCTTTCATTAGCAGTGCATTCCCAGAAAACAGGTCAATACTGTGAGAGTTTGTCTCTAGAATGCATTGCACTTCTGCTCTCAGAGACCCTGACTCCCTAGAAAAGGTTCAAGAAAGGTTTGGCCAAAGCTGTGGTCCACGGAGCTCACAGTTCTCAAAGGGTTTTTTCTTCTGTGGATTCTGAGCCTTAGTTTCTGGAATCCTTAAATAGCAGGAACTGAGTTTACCTTGCTCATTGTCTCATAAAGACGCTTGAAGACTTGAGTCTCCTAGATACTACTTAAATCACTTTGGGCACCCCATCACAAATCCTTTTGCTTCTAGCTGAGATTACATTGTGGAAGGTATGAGTAGAGTTTCCTCCAAGCTTGGGTGCTCTCTAATTGCCTTGGTAACATCAGGAGAAGCCTGTGTGGTAACTGCTGGATTTATGCTTATGCACAATCCTCTGATGTATGCACAACCCCTCATAGCTATGTATGTCTTCTAGTGCAAATCTCAACAAAGAGGCGGTATGTAAGGTCTGTTCCTTAAGTTAAATGCTACCCAAGAGCTCCTTCACATTGTTTTCAAAGGACACAGACATCCCTATTCCCAACTCTACTTCTTTACTACTGTAGTAAGAGGATCCTAGGCTGGGTTTGTTCATACATTTATTGAGCTGATTCACCAATGTGGTGTTTTATTTACTCTAATTTCATTAGGGAGATGTGTGTGTGTGTGTGTGTGTGTGTGTGTGTGTGTGTGTGTGTGTGTGTGTGTTATAGACTGCCAGAATGGCAGGATGGCATGGTGGCATGATGGCAGGAGATGGGTTTTAATGTTCCCCATCTTCTCTTTTTCTTAGGTCAGGAGCACCATCCGCAGACATAAAGATGTCACTCTCCTGACCCAAGCGCAGTTCCAACTTTTAAGCTCTCTTGAGCAGAATATTTACATCAATAATAAAATTCCCTGGAAATCTTACCTTGAGCTGAAGACCTATTAGCTAAAAGCAGAAGACCTGCTAAATGAAGGCCTCACAGAGGAAGCGCTTGTGATGTATCACAAATTTTCAACGTGAGAACCTGCATTTTCCATCTCCTTTCCCATGACTGATCCCTCACTCATCCTGTCCTCTTCATGCTTCCTACCCTTACTGACCTTATGGAACTTGTCAAAGTCATCTTTTAATCAGATTTTTGGCAGATCTCACACATGCTTTTCCTTACTGTTCAAAGACATGAGGACCAAAGTTGGTGGTATCACATATAAGGGATTTCATGAGTAGGAAAGTTCTTGAGCTTGTGCCCACATGGCCCAGCTTTTAGACAAGAGTTGACAGGTGAACAGGATGTGTCTGCATTGGTGAGTGTTTTGACTGCTTTATCTCTACCCAGGCAGCCAGTCATAGGCTTATTGCTGTGTGTGGCAGAGCCAGATTCCTCTTCTCTACATCCTGTAGCCTATTGATTGGTATAGGAAAGAGGTTAGCCTTTCCTGTAGCTACACAGCCACCAGAAGACTGGGCTGTGGACCACCTAGTGTTGGAGTGGCTCAGCAGAGTCCCTGAGCTGTTCACCATACTTGGGTCGGCAGAATAAAATTGCAGAGCTGTCCCCAGGGAATGGCTCCTATAGTCTTAATGACAAGAACATTGTGTGTCTGAGGAAGGAAATGATGGTAAATGTCTCACCAGTCATATCTAGCCCTGAGTTTGGTTAAACAGAACCTAAGGAGATGTATGCATGTGACTCAAAGGAGCTCAGGCACTGGAGAGGAGTTTTCTGGGCATGACTTCATTGATCTTCAGAAGACTGTGTGTGCTGGTTAGGTACGTTACCTTCCTGTTCCACAGAGGAAGGGAATGCTCAGATTGAGAGATTAACTCAGGTACCACAATTTGCATTTCCCAGGTTGTCCAACTCCTAGAACATGGGTTCTTTTTGTTTTCCATTGTTGGTATTCTGCAAAGGGGAAGGCAGTCTCCTGAGATCATAGTAAATATCCCTCTCATTTCTTCTCTCTTCCAAAGACACATCACTCTTCCTAGGGCACTCATGTGTCTCTGAGATATCAGTTTGTCACACTCAGTTTTTCATCGCACCCTCCACTGAAGAATCTTTCCTGGTTTTTGGACTGACATGTATGTTGAAGCAGGTTAATAGCCTCCCTGGGTGCAGCATCTCACTATGTTCCACAGCACAGCTCCCCCTAACTCTGAGCACCCCCATTCTCTCCTGTCATTACCTAATGCTCTCTGAGGTGAGATTGTGCCCTGTTGGGAAACAGTACACTAAGGTGCTGTATGAGTGAAGATCTATATAGTTATTGGGAATGGAGATCACTGTCTGTTTACTGATTTGAAGTTTAGGATTATGGCCTGTTTCCTCAAGGTTCTGTGGATCCACAGACTCTATCTGCTGCATCCTGAGTGCTTGGATGACAAGCATGCACAACTTCACCTTATCTATACTTCTTAATAGCTGATGATTCCTGAATGAACCAGTAGATAGAAGAGTGAGGACCTTTCTTTCTCCAGGCACTGGGGGTGAGGGGGTGGGGGAGTGGGGGGGTGGGGGGAAGTGGATGTGGGATTTCAGGGTGTGCATTTTCTCATTCCAGGAACTTCTGAAACCATGAATACAGAGGCCAAATTTCTTCAGGGCCTCATTTAGATATTTGCAACTTTTCTGTACATCTTAGTTATTTTGTTCTGTTCCTTTAGACTCTTTATGGAGAAACTCAGACAAGGCCCAAATAAGTGTCTTTCAGCTCGAATAAGATCCAAAATCAACAAGGTGAGTCTTCATTGTCTGTGTGACTGATCCAAACTCTCCAGATCAACAGTGAGCTATTTAGAGAAAAGCAACAGATCATGACCCTGGGTAGGAGGGGAGCTGATTCTGCCTCAGCATAGCAGTACAGAGGAGAGGGATGGCAGGAAATGGGGTTCAAGTCATGTATAGGATACTGCTCCCTTTCCCTACTTGTTTTCTTAATTTCTTTTCTGACGTTGGAGCTGTTCTAATTCTCCATTTCTGTTTTGTATTGCAGACTCTAAATAACGTTTTTGAAAAAGCTGAGAGCCTAAAATTCACACTCCGAAGACATCATCCTAAGGAGTTCGAAGGCTACCTGGCAGATAAGGTCAGTGTGTGAGCATGGAGGAAGGAGGATTGTGTGTCACCTGATCCGTCTGTGTCCTGGCACTGTGTTGTGTTGTTTCAGTGAGTCT